GATCGAGGAGGAGATACATCAGCACTGGGAGGCGAGGAGATTTGCTCAGGCGCGCCGTGCTACCATTTGGCTGGGGAATAATAGGACAGGCACTAAACGCCGAGACCTTCGAGCTCTACCCCTTGCGAATCCGACGAAGGCCGAGTGGATGGAGGCGCTCAATCTGAATGGCAAAGATGGTGGAATGGGCGCAGTAGAGATTACACCGCATCCACAAGTTCAGGCGGATGAGCTCGAATGTGAAGAACTACCAGACCAGTTGCCTAACATTCCTGACCCGTGGCTGTTTGTGGCAGAGGGAGAGGACGTGCCTGAATTTCAAGATGATCATGCAACTGGTGCCTTTCTTGAGAGCAGGAGAGATATCTTGAGAATGAAGTGGTATTTGATTAGACGCCGAAGAGAAAAGCGTGCCCAGCTGGCTCACCGCCTGCGGAGCTGTTCTGGATGAGTTTGCACCCTCAGCGAGATGCTTTTCGCAAAGAGTTGGATATGACCCACAAGACTCGGACAATAGCTACATTGAAGCTTCCTTGCACATGGCTTTCTGTAATCTGCGTTATTATCAGCTCACACCGCTGAACTGGCGCGTTTCTGAGTGCTGCGCGGCACGGAAAACGAGCAACCAGGACCAAACGGACGGCGGCTGCTGCATGTTCTTCGTGTGTTGGGCAAAGTTGTTTCGCTAACTGTATCGAAGCTCGTCGCCCGCCGCCCTTGCCAGCTGAACATCGCGGATATGCTAGAGGGCGAAGACGAGAGACGGCAATTCTGGCTTCCATGATTACTGGTTACACGCTAAGGCAGTTGAAGTGCTCGTATGTTGACAGCTTCAAAGATATGGCCAATGCATTTCCTTCGGTGGGATGGCAGTACATGGAAGTGGCGGCTGCAGCCTTGGTACGAGACAAAGATGAACGGCTGGCCATCATAGAATTAGGCGAGCGCAGGTACTTCTACCTGCAGCAGAAGGTACACTTCACTTTAGACCGACGGATGGGGGCCTCATGGGGGGCCCAGTCATGGTGCACTGCTTCCCCAGAGCCATTGCGCATGCCACAGAGCCGTGGACACAGCAGTGGAGACAGACAGATAATGCGGACGAAGTGCCGGTGGTCAAGTGCCCGATCGCGCGACGTGAAGTCGACCTCAGTCTGCACTTGTGCGCTGACGACATCAACAAAAAATATTGCAGCACACGCCGGCTCAAACATAAAATGTGAATCTGGACAAATTGCGCGGCAAGTTGAAGGACGGCGACAAAATCATGGACGAACAACTGCTCAAGATCGGATTGGCTCAGAACAAAACAAGTCAACATCGTGGTAATTCTAAACGCTTCGCGTATCCCCACCAGCCCGTCCAGAAACGACGCCCATGCGAGTAGAGGGTCGTCCTGAGGGGCTTTTCGGCGTCTTGGGTGCCTCGGGGGGGGGGCCTCTGCGGGCCGTTCGGGGTCCTCTTTGGGGCCTCCTGGGGGCCCCTTGGGGCCTCTTGGGGCCATCGTGGAGCCTTTGGAGGCCTCCTGGGCGCTTCCTGGGGCCATCTTTGCCCCGTGGGTGCCTCTGGGGGGTCTCTTGGGGCCTCTTGGGGGTCTCTTGGGGGGGGGGGGGCCTCCTGGTGGCCTCTTGGGGAGCCTCTTGGGGCTATCTTGGGGCCATCCTGCGGCCTCTTGGGGCATCCTGGGGGCCTCTTGGGCGTCGTTTGGGGCGCTCTTGAAGCGCTCTTGGAGGCCTCAGAGGCGCTGGTAGAGCCATGTTGGAGGGGATCTGTCAAATCAAGCGGAAGCACGAATTAGCGTCGCTCCTGGAAAGCCTCCAAAATCGCCTCCTGAACCGCCCTTGGAGGGCTCTTGGAGCGCTCTTGGGCACTCTTTGCGCCGTCTTCGGGCTTTCTTGGGCACTTCTTGGAGCTATCTTGAGCCATCTTGGAGCTATCTTGACGCCTCGGGTGGGCATCGGACGCGAAAGCGCGAGAACGCCACACACATGGATTTTCCTTAAGGTTTTGAAACATTTTGGCTTCTTGGGGGCATCCGAGGGGAGCTCTAGTGGACACTTAGAGCCGTCTTGGGGCGGTCTTGGAGCGTCCTGGAGCATCTTCGGAACCATCTTGAGGCATCTTGCGCTATCTTGAACCATCTTGGAGGCGATCTTGGGCTCCCTGAGGCCCTCTTGGAGTCGTCTTGGCTCATCTTGGACGCTCCAACGCGTCGCGGCTCCCCCTGTCCAGGTCAGCGGGGAGGGGGTGGGGGGGAGGGGTAAACCCCTCCCCGAAAGGGGAAGAAGGAGGGGTGGAAGAAGAAACGCTCTTAAACCACCGACGCCCAGAGGGCTGGGGGGATTCATGGCGTTGGAAGTGGCATAGCGAGACGGGAACTTCGACACCGGGATCAACGAAAGAAATGGGGCGGGCAGATAGTGGAGCAGGCGCGGTACCTTGGTCCCCTTCTAACGCATATACAGAGCTTCGGCATCGAATTGTCGAGGAGAGTTCAAGCAGCTAAAGCGGCATTCTACTCAATGGGATCTTTCTGGAGTGCCAAGCGAGTACCATGGAGGTGGGGACACACTGTGCTGATTGGAAGAGTGGTTAACGCGGCGCTTACCCTTCACCCCTTCTCGGAAGCAGTACGACACGCTCGGCGGTGCGATCGCCTCGCTGGCTAGGATTGCGATGAGAGGAGCAGCTTGCACGCGCAACGAGGACGGCACGGTGCATTCGCTTACGAACAAGGAGGTCTTGGCACACTGGAAGATTCCCAGATCGGAGGTGGGGTTGCGGACTCGGAGGTTAAAGTGGCTACAGCAGGCGGCCAGGGACAGGCGCAACAGCGTCCAGTTCTTCGGGGCACTCTTCGGCCCCATCTGCGGACAGCAGCGGAGCACGGTGAACGTTGATGGCTCCATGTCTGTGCTGGCCCACCCTTGGGCGAAGCGAGTACAACAAGACGTTGACTCGCTCATTCGGGTCTCGGACGAGGCTCGTGCACTGCAAGAGCTTGCTGGCCCGCATATTGTGGCCTGGCTAAAAGATCCGCACTTCAGAGAGGACTTCGTCAATATCGATGTCAGCATTCCCCGAGCAAGCGAATTCAGCAGAAACGTTCCGCCCCCAACATGCAAACCCCCTGCGCAGAAGAACGACGACGACGACGAGGAGAAGGTGATTCACGAAGTGGAGGAGGAGTTTAAGTGCCAGGTGGAAGGGGACGGGAGGACGTGCGGTAGGGTATTATATTCGAAACGGGCCCTTCGCACGCACGTTCGGCAAGTACACAGCATCGTCAACGCCTGCTCGTTCTACAACCCCACGAATATGTGCATCGCGTGCGAAACGGTCTTCGCCACAGCTGTCGCCGCACGTCGGCACCTTACCTCGGGCTATTCAGAGAGGATATTGCGTGGGCGATCTCGCTCGAGCACTCGTTCTAGCACAAGAGCCAAACACACTACAATGTCCTGGATGCGATGTCGCAGCTGGTCGTTGGCTCGAGCTTCGAGATCATCTCGCTCGCCACCTGCCTTTTCTTCCTGATATACGTGCGCCCGCCACTGTGGGCAAACACCTCCAGTATGGCAGACGACAGCGACCAGGAGCTAGAGGTGGAGGGCCCAGCATGGATGAAGGAGATGGGCATCGGGCAAGTCGGCTGGGGCACCCAACGGCGCAAACGAGGAGCTGCAGGAGGGCAGGGCTCGGACCCCAAGACGCAGAAGGCGGAGGAGCTGCTCGCACAGGCCAGAGGACAAGCAGGCAAAGGCGCCACCAAATCCCAGGTCGCGCAGCAAATCGTGCTCATTCTCGCCAAGCTCGTCCTCAGCATGGCGGGCGACCTCAGGTCAGTCATCAGCGTCGTCTTCGTCGCAGCGATCATGCCCTTGGCTGTCCCGTGCATCGAGGCTGCGATCCAGGCAGGCAAGAACTACCACAAAGCGGCGATGGAGCTCAAAGGGAAAGCGAAAGAGGACGAAGGAGTGGATACGGCAGCCTTGGGCAGTCCACATCTTCACGTGTGGAAGGGCTTCACCAGAGCGCTCCTCGCAAGTGCAGAGGAAGGCCAGGCGCACCACGCTGGGAACGTACTGGATGGAGAACATCATGACGTACGAGCTGGAAGACGCGGCAGCGGAGATCAAGCACTTCAGGGTGCGCGCCCCGCAGGGCAAGGAGGCCAAGAAGGACTCGAAGCGCATGGAGGGCAAGGTGCGGTTGTAGTGGGCTCTCTCGACGACCATGATCGCACGCGAGCTCGACGGAGTCATTCGCTCGGAGATAGTCAGGCACGGCGGGGAGATCTTGATTGGAGCTGCCCCGCGCGGGGCTTTGGAGAGGGGCGCGCGCGCGCTCTTGAACAAGCTGGAGCCGCCCTAGGAGAGGCCGAAATGAGGAGGATGAGGACCCTTGCAGGAAGTGAGCGTCTGAGTGAACTCGTGTCTCGGGGCCTAGTGAGTAGGGAAACGATTCTCGCCTCTTTCACCTCCTCCCTCTCCGAATCTGCTCTGGAAGACCCCAGGGGCCGTTTTATGTCGACCGAAAAAATCCAGCCGCGTCCTAAGGGACGGGGTAAAGGCAAAAGGCAGGGGGAGACAAAATCGTCCCCCTGAGCAAGGGAGAGGCTCGGGACAGCCGAGTACCTAGCCTTGTAGGGTGGGGTGCCGCTGGGGGCCCCGCGCTGCTTGGTGAGGTGCAGGCCGTTTTTAGTCTCCCCTGATGAAACTAACGTGTGGGCCGCCACCCTAGCGCCCCGAGCTCATACCTCTCTGGTTGCCCGGGGGCCCGAGTGTTTTCCACCAGTGCCAGTGTGTAGCAAAGTTGCAGCCTTAGGCATGCCGCCCAGCGAATACTAAGGACAGAAGCAGAGACCTCTCGTACCTTCGTTCGCCCAGGGATGTCAGTCAGTCAGTCAGTCTCCCCTTCGTCCTCCTCGCTCTCTTCGCCCTCCACGCCCTCCTCGCCCCTCGTCGCCCTCCTCGGCACCCGTCGCGTGCCTGGGAAAGGCGGAGCAGTTGGAGGCCGCGTGGGCGCATTCGGAGGGGCGGCGAGAGGCGCTGCGGAACGAGGCGGCTCCTGGCGGCCTCGTCGTCGTCGTCGCCCTCGTCCTCCTCCCTCCTCCCCCTGCCTCTCGTCCCCTCCGCCTCGTTTCGCCTCTCCTCCCCTCCTCCTCTCTCCTCCTCCTCCTCCTCCTCCTCTTCCTCCTCCTCCTCCTCCTCCTCCTCCTCCTCCTCATCTTCATCCTTACCTCTTTCCTCCTCCTCTTCATCATTGCCTCTTTCCTACCCCGCTTCTTCTCCGTGCCCTCCCCCCCTGCCACTCCCTCCCCCCTCTCTCCCCCTCTCCATCCACCCTCCTCTCCGTACTCCTCCTCTCTTCGTGAACATGGGTTTTTGCAGAGCCAGGCCGATCCGCGTTCTCATTCTCCCTCCTTCTTTCTCACTTGCATTGCTCCCCCTTCTCTCTTCTCCCTCATTTCTCCCCCCCGGTGGATGTGAAGAACGGCGCCTTCGGCGGAGGAGGTGGACGAGCAGGGAGGAGTGCCAGAGGGGGCGAGAGGGTGGGGAGATGGAACGGAAGAGGGAGGGACTGTGGGGCCAGGGCGATGAGAGGGAGGTTGGGCGGGATTACTGGTGCGGGTCGGGAGAGGCCGGGGGAGGGAGCGGGCGAGGGGCGGAGGGGGCAAGCCGGGGGGATATGAGGACGTGATCTCGGAGGCCGGGGGGGGGGGGGGCAGGAGGCAGCAGAGGTAGGACGGGATGGTGAGAATCGACAATGCGTATGAGCAACCTTTCGCCGGAGTGACCTCTGGTGCGGGCACAGGTGGGCCCCCAGATGGCTGAAAGAGAAGCGGTAGCAGCGGCCTGCGCGCTTGCTTTTTGGCCCCCCCGCGGTCTGAAAAAGCCGCGCACCAAAGGTCACTTTTACCCAGGGTCACTCTTGCGTGTAGCCGAGAGAAGGTGCCAGAGAGGAGGACGGCTCACGAGAAGTTGGAGGTTCAGCGAGATGGGGGGGGAAAGGGGAGAGATTGGGGATGCGGAGGCACTGCCAGAACTGGAGCCTCCTGGCTGGGAGAGTAGTGCGTGCGAGTCCCAGATGGCGCATATTGTCTGGCATGAGGTGGAGGAAGGGGGATAATATGAAGGCCAGAGGAGTATGAGCGACAAGAGTCAGGCGATCGCAAACATGGATCATGGGGGCGTGGATTGGCGACGGGTCCCGTTTCCATGGGAAATCGCGGATTTCCGCCGCCGAGCGAGGCGGCACCGGCCGCATTTTGTGGAGGGTACTTCCCCGGATCCATGGATTTGGCGACCACGGGCGAAGTCCATGGATCGCTAATCAATGTTTGCGCTCCCCCGACTGGAGGTGGGGAAGGGGTGGTTCGTCGCTCGGTATGTTAACGAGTTCTTATGTTCTTCATGAAGTCTCGGAAAGGAGGAGGAAGAGGAGAAGGAGGAGGAAATATTGGACGCAAGGGACGATGAGGATGAGGATTGGGATTATGAAGGTTCAGATTGAGGCCCAGGAGATTTCCCGAGGCTCTGAGGACGATTTCGGACGGATTACATCGTTCCAGCGAGTTCCAGAGCGCTCTCGGAGCGTTCGGGAGCGCCTCGGACTGGCCGCGGCGCCCGAGACACCTTGCAAACTTCCGGACCTCAGATCTGCCCCCGCATCGTCCCAGTCCAAGAGGAGGAGGAGGAGGAGGAGGAGGAGGAGGAGGAGGAGGAGGAGGAGGAGGAGGAGGAGGAGGAGGAGGAGAGCAGGAGGAGGAGGAGGAGGACAGGAGGCAGGAGGAGGAGGAGGAGGAGGAGGAGGAGGAGGAGGAGGAGCAGAGGGAGGAGGAGCAGGAGGAGGAGGAGGAGGAGGAGGAGGAGGAGGAGGAGGAGGGAGGAGGAGGAGGAGGAGGAGGAGCAGGAGGATGATGATGATGAGGAGGAGGAGGGAGGAGGAGGGGAGAGGAGGAGGAGGAGGGAGGAGGAGGAGGAGGGAGGGAGGGAGGGAGGGAGGGAGGGAGGGAGGGAGGGAGGGAGGGAAGGAGGAAGGAGGAGGAGGAGCAGGAGCAGGAGGAGCAGGAGGAGCAAGAGGAGCAGGAGGAGCAGAGGAGGAGGAGGAGGAGAGGAGGAGGAGGGGGAGGAGGAGGAGGAGGAGGAGGAGGAGGAGGGAGGGAGGGAGGGAGGGAGGAGGAGGAGGAGGAGGCAGGAGGGAGAAGGAGGAGGAGGAGGAGGAGGAGGAGGAGGAGCAGAGGGAGGAGGAGGAGCAGAGGGAGGAGGAGGTAGAGGGGCTCGTATGGGCCTGGGGCGTCGCCCGGCGCGGCGCGGCGCGCTGCCCCTGGAGGAACAGCGAGGCGCCGCGGCCAGGCCTCCTCTCCGAGGCGGGGAGCTGTCCAGAATCGCCGCCTGTGGGGCCGACCTGCGGGGACGTCGGCGGGTGGCGAGCAGGGATGTCTTCGGTCAGGAGGGAAAGGAACTTTTTTGATCCGCGGGTCGAGAGCGAGCCTCTTCCGGTCGAAGCTAAGCGGGCCGCGCACAGCTTTGATTGACAGAGGGGGGGACGGCAGAAGGAGGGGCCTCACGTCAAGGCCAAGAGAGGGCAACGCCCCGGAATCAGGCGGTGCCGAAGGCGATGTGGGCCGGCGTGCAACGTTGTGCTACCGAACGGGATGCAGAACGGAGGGAAAGAAACACACAGACACAATGAATCGTCGATCCCCCAGAACATAGGGGGAAATGTCGGAAGTGGGGAGGGGAAGGCGAAAATCAGAAGAGTAATGAAAAAATGAAAGGGATCCTGGGATTTGTGTGTATTTACCTGTGTGTCCCTGGGCCTTTGTGGGCCCCGGAAACGGCAGGGCCGTTTTTTTCACAGTTTCCCAAAAAATGTCCCTTGAAAATGGAAACGGCAAAAAAACGGCGATTGGAAACGGCAAAATAACGGCTCCAGGATTGGAAGCAGAGCCGGAACCGGTCAAAAAACGGCGTCGAAACTTGCCAAAAAACGGCAAAACGGAACCGGTAAAAAAACAGCCCTGTCGTTTCCAGGGCCCACTAAGGTCCGGGGGCCCGAAAACGGCGAAAACCTCAGGACCCGATTGCCTCAGGACCCATTCCCAGACACGCGACGTCATGCTCCTGTGTGTATTTGTGTGTATTTGCTTGTGTATATTTGTGTATTTGCTTGTGCGTCCCTGGGCTCCCTCGCCGGTCGGAAGCTTCCCGACGCGCGCGCAGGTGGAGGCACTGCGCCGCCAGCTCTCCGAGGCCGCGGGCCGCAGGGAGGCGCCGCCGGCTGCCGCCGCTCGCCGTCGCCGGCGTCGTTCGTCGGTGCTCGCGTGTTTTTGTTTTTGTTGTTTTCTTTTTTTTTAATCATATATATACATATACATATACATGTTGTCTTGTTGTTATGTGTTGCTGTGTTTGTTTTGTTTTATGGTTGTTTTGTTTTTGTGTTGTATACATGTTTAATGCTTTTTGTCGTTTTATATACGTGTTTTTTGTTTTTGATTTTTGTTTATATATAGGTTTCAGAATATCGACGGGAGGTTTTTTTAGCCATTTTCGGCCTCTGGGGCCCCCGCCGGGCACCAGGACCATCAGAAAGCGACTCGGGAGGAAGAGCCCGTCTTGGGGAAGGGGTCGGGATTTCCGGGCACCGCCTATTGAACAGAGCGGGGCGTCGCGTGTGTTTGGGAGCGGTTAAAGCTGTGCGTAGCCCGCCTAGCTTTTAGCGGGAGAGGTTCGCTCTCGCCCCGCGGATCAAAAAGTGTGTTTGGGAGCGGGTCTTGAGGCGATCGGGCCCCGAGGTGCTCGCCGTGTTCGGGCCCCGGGACCGTCCGAAGACGACTCGGGGTGAAGAGCTCGTCCTGGGGGGAGGCCGCAGGGTCCAGGACGCGCTTCCCTCGCGACCCGTGCCCCCCATGCCAGATCGTCGCCGCCGTCGGCGTTCACTACGCTGTCGAGTGATGTCCGCGGTGGCTACTCGTAGCATGCTCGTCGAGGAAGCAGAAGGCAGCGCTTAGGAGAACAGTGCGCGCTAGTGAGGCAACAGCGCGGCAAGTAACCCTAGGCAGGGTTCCTCCTCCTCTCCCTCTTCCTCTCGTCGTCGTCGTCCTCCTCTTCCATGCCGGCGCCGCTGCACGATGTTAGTGGCAATGCGACGGCAGATCCGTCGGTACAAGTTTGAACCCTTTTTCAGAGAGAGGTTTTCACTGACCAGCTTGAGAAGCAGAAGCGGCATCAGTCTAGGTCGCCCAGATTGGGTCGGAGCAGGTGGGGTCGAAGGATTGCGCCGCATCGCCGGTATACAAGCAGTGGCGAAGCGTCCTGGCTCGCCTGTAGGCCCACCAAACAATACTTAGAACCTTTTTGTGGATTGCGCGACACTTTCTTAAGACATATTTGGTTGAGGCTGTTTGTGTTAGCGCATCGTTTTTTTTTGTTCTGAGATGTTATAACTAATGTTAGAACATTATGTTGTTCTGAAAACATTGGGTGGCAGGCCATGTCGGAACGGCGGGTCCCTGTTCGAGATACATATGCCCTGCGGCTCGACTTGCGACGCACCGCCGACGTCGCCGATGCATAGGCAATGCATAGGCCGCGCGGCGCGATCCTCTGACCCCATGTGCTCGGGCCCCATTCGGGAGGCCTCCAGTAAGGCTGTCTGAGGTCCGCGCTGGTCCCTCCAGTTGCGGCGCCCCGGCGCGTTATTGAGGGCGGTTCCGAGAAGCCCGCGCGGAGCTCCGAAAATTAATGTTTGTGTTGAGTCGGACCCGTTCCTCTACAGGAGGGGAATTCAAAAATAGTAAAAACAAATCGGAGGACGATGTTTAGACTATTTTCAACATGTTTGAAGAATTGTGGGGGTAATTTTCAGCGTTCGCCTGTAGAGAGACATGCCCGACGTAACGCTATGGAGGGCGGCTCCAAGAAGTGCGCGCGGAGCTCCTGAAGTTGATGTTTGTGCAGCTTTTCTCTACTATCACCATCGTGCCCGTCGTCGTCTCGCCGTGAAGCTTCTGGGTCGTTGGGGGGGCGGGTCCGCAGGTTTTTCGCCGTCTGGGGTCTCGGGTCGTCGGTAGCGTGCACGTCGTCGGCGTCGGCGCGTTCGTCGTCGGAGTCGCGATTGAGTTCGTCATCGGTGTCATCGGCGTCATGGGCGTCATCGTCGTCGTCGTCGTCGCTGGCGGCGTGGTTTTTGCGATCGTCTTCGGCCGCGTCATCGGCGTCGTCGTCGGCGTCGTCGCTGTAGGTGTCCTTCGTCCTCCTTGCCCTCATCTCCTCTCTCCCGCGTTTTCCATCCTCTCCTTGATTCTCCCTGGAGGAGCTGAGTGAAAAGGGGTTGCGAGGAAACGAAGCTGAATGAAGCTGAAACGGATTGAAGGGTAGGCCCCAGGTCACGACCTCGGATTTGAAACACAGAATGAGGTGCATCATGAACATAGCTCAAGAGTCGCATCCCAGAAGCTGTCGACTCTGTACGATTCCGCCGCTGCGTATTGGGCCGAGCATCGCGAGTCGTCAAGTCGAATGTCGCATCGCCTTTTTTGTCTGCGTTTCTTCGGGCTGCTATGCCTACATATGAAGGGTGCATGTGCACGCTGTATACACTTGAGGTTCAGGAGGGGAAAACACACACAGGCACCATGAATCGTTGATTCCCCCGAGCATATGGGAAACTATGGGACGTGGGGGGGAAGGTGAAAACCAGGAAAATTTGGGAAACTATCGGGCATCTTTTTACCTGTGCGTATTTATTTGTGTGTTCCCAGGGCCCCTTCAGAGATCTGCGTTCCTGTTCGTAGCTTTCCTGATACTCATTCCTGTTCGTATGCGTTCCTGCTCGTATGCGTATGCATGTTCGTATGCATTCCTGTTCGTATGCATTCCTCTTCGTAGCTTGCATATGCATTCCTTTTGGGTACACTTGAGATATGCATTCCTGTTCGTATCTTTCCTGTTACGCATCGTTTGTGGGCACAGGTTCACCGCTGCTTCCCCCGCGACACAGCATGTGGCCTTGGCTCGAAGAAGAGCGCGTGCGGGGTGGCCGTCGGCCCAGGGTTTCGAGAGCTCTGGGGATGCGCCTCTCAGCACCCTGACTGCACCACACGTGCTACGTCGGGCGTGTCCCTCGACGAGAGGAATGTTCAAAGATAGTCGAATTACGCTACCGAGGAACCTCACATACTTAATTTAAATCTTATGTGTTTGCTTATGTATAATATATATATATGTATATATATATATATATATATATATATGCACAATCCTGCGTTCTGGGCCCTCGTCGCGAATGTTCCCTGCTAGGCTTTGCGCCAGTGTCGTGGATAGCGGCTGAGCTGAGAGACCACCCCCTGCGCACCCCCTGTGGTGTCGAGAAAGTGCCACGCCTGCTAGCCTTTGCGCCAGTGTCGTGGATAGCGGCCGAGCTGAGAGACCACCCCCTGCGCACCCCCTGTGGTGTCGAGAAAGTGCCACGCCTGCTAGCCTTTGCGCCAGTGTCGTGGATAGCGGCCGAGCTGAGAGACCACCCCCTGCGCACCCCCTGTGGTGTCGAGAAAGTGCCACGCCTGCTAGGCTTTGCGCCAGTGTCGTGGATAGCGGCCGAGCTGAGAGACCACCCCCTGCCCACCCCCTTTGGTGTCGAGAAAGTGCCACGCCTGCTAGGCTTTGCGCCAGTGTCGTGGATAGCGGCCGAGCTGAGAGACCACCCCCTGCGCACCCCCTGTGGTGTCGAGAAAGTGCCACGCCTGCTAGGCTTTGCGCCAGTGTCGTGGATAGCGGCCGAGCTGAGAGACCACCCCCTGCGCACCCCCTGTGGTGTCGAGAAAGTGCCACGCCTGCTAGGTTTTGCGCCAGTGTCGTGGATAGCGGCCGAGCTGAGAGACCACCCCCTTCGCACCTCGTGTGGTGTCGAGAAAGTGCCACGCCTGCTAGGCTTTGCGCCAGTGTCGTGGATAGCGGCCGAGCTGAGAGACCACCCCCTGCGCACCTCGTGTGGTGTCGAGAAAGTGCCACGCCTGCTCGGCTTTGCGCCAGTGTCGTGGGTAGCGGCCGAGCTGAGAGACCACCCCCTGCGCACCCCCTGTGGTGTCGAAAAAGTGCCACGCCTGCGAGGCTTTGCGCCAGTGTCGTGGATAGCGGCCGAGCTGAGAGACCACCCCCTGCGCACCTCCTGTGGTGTCGAGAAAGTGCCACGCCTGCGAGGCTTTTCGCCAGTGTCGTGGATAGCGGCCGAGCTGAGAGACCACCCCCTGCGCACCCCCTGTGGTGTCGAGAAAGTGCCACGCCTGCTAGCCTTTGCGCCAGTGTCGTGGATAGCGGCCGAACTGAGAGACCACCCCCTGCGCACCCCCTTTGGTGTCGAGAAAGTGCCACGCCTGCTAGGCTTTGCGCCAGTGTCGTGGATAGCGACCGAGCTGAGAGACCACCCCCTGCGCACCCCCTGTGGTGTCGAGAAAGTGCCACGCTTGCTAGCCTTTGCGCCAGTGTCGTGGCGGCCGAGCTGAGAGACCACCCCCTGCGCACCCCCTGTGGTGTCGAGAAAGTGCCACGCCTGCTAGGCTTTGCGCCAGTGTCGTGGATAGCGGCCGAGCTGAGAGACCACCCCCTGCGCACTCCCCTGTGGTGTCGAGAAAGTGCCACGCCTGCTAGGCTTTGCGCCAGTGTCGTGGATAGCGACCGAGCTGAGAGACCACCCCCTGCGCACCCCCTGTGGTGTCGAGAAAGTGCCACGCTTGCTAGGTTTGCGCCAGTGTCGTGGATAGCGGCCGAGCTGAGAGACCACCCCCTGCGCACCCCGTGTGGTGTCGAGAAAGTGCCACGCCTGCTAGGCTTTGCGCCAGTGTCGTGGATAGCGGCCGAGCTGAGAGACCACCCCCTGCGCACCCCCTGTGGTGTCGAGAAAGTGCCACGCCTGCTAGGCTTTGCGCCAGTGTCGTGGATAGCGGCCGAGCTGAGAGACCACCCCCTGCGCACCCCCTGTGGTGTCGAGAAAGTGCCACGCCTGCTAGGCTTTGCGACAGTGTCGTGGATAGCGGCCGAGCTGAGAGACCACCCCCTGCGCACCCCCTGTGGTGTCGAGAAAGTGCCACGCCTGCTAGGTTTGCGCCAGTGTCGTGGATAGCGGCCGAGCTGAGAGACCACCCCCTGCGCACCCCCTGTGGTGTCGAGAGAGTGCCACGCCTGCTAGGCTTTGCGCCAGTGTCGATAGCGGCCGAGCTGAGAGACCACCCTGCGCACCCCCTGTGGTGTCGAGAAAGTGCCACGCCTGCTAGCCTTTGCGCCAGTGTCGTGGATAGCGGCCGAGCTGAGAGACCACCCCCTGCGCACCCCCTGTGGTGTCGAGAAAGTGCCACGCCTGCTAGGCTTTGCGCCAGTGTCGTGGATAGCGGCCGAGCTGAGAGACCACCCCCTGCGCACCCCCTGTGGTGTCGAGAAAGTGCCACGCCTGCTAGCTTTGCGCCAGTGTCGTGGATAGCGGCCGAGCTGAGAGACCACCCCCTGCGCACCCCCTGTGGTGTCGAGAAAGTGCCACGCCTGCTAGGCTTTGCGCCAGTGTCGTGGATAGCGGCCGAGCTGAGAGACCACCCCTGCCCACCCCCTTTGGTGTCGAGAAAGTGCCACGCCTGCTAGGCTTTGCGCCAGTGTCGTGGATAGCGGCCGAGCTGAGAGACCACCCCCTGCGCACCCCGTGTGGTGTCGAGAAAGCGCCACGCCTGCTAGGCTTTGCGCCAGTGTCGTGGATAGCGGCCGAGCTGAGAGACCACCCCCTGCGCACCCCCTGTGGTGTCGAGAAAGTGCCACGCCTGCTAGCCTTTGCGCCAGTGTCGTGGATAGCGGCCGAGCTGAGAGACCACCCCCTGCCCACCCCCTTTGGTGTCGAGAGAGTGCCACGCCTGCTAGGCTTTGCGCCAGTGTCGTGGGTAGCGGCCGAGCTGAGAGACCAACCCCTGCGCACC